CATGACGTCATGTTATCCCCACTGCTATTCGACCACATGCACGTCACGTGACACGATGCAATGCTTGTCTTTGGCGGAAACCTGGGCACGTGACGTGCCTCTGCCTGATCTAACCTGGTATAGGGATAGCGTGACGTCACATATTCATAGAAATTCCCTAAAGAAAAATTCGAGACACTACGACGGAAACAGCGTACCTCGACTTACGCGATGATACAATGCTAAGATTAATCGCGTTCGTAATAATAATTCGATCGATTCGATGTCCTTTTTCACGCTGCTGTTTCGGAACGGATGAACAAAAATATTAGCGGCGGGACTGCCGTTGCCACAGGGAGGTGGCGGAGCGGGGGGCCATGGACAGCCGCAGGCTGGATCGCCGAGCACCCCGGGCCCCGGCGGTGGCACTGCTGGCAGTGGCGCGAGCACTCTCGGCGCCGCTGGCGGCGGTGCTTCTGGCTCTGGCACCGCCGCCGCCGGTGGAAGTGGGATTGGTTTCAGTGTGACCGGAAGTACCGGTGGCGGGGCTGGTGGCGGTGCCGCCGGCGGTGGCGCAAGTTGGTCCGGGGGACTGCCTCGTCGGGGCCGAGGGTGGCGCGACTGGCGCCGCGGCGACCCCACGCTGATCAAGGGACTGTGGAAATCGAAGGGGCCTCTAGGTAAAGGATCCGTGTTTCTCCGCCAATTTGATGTGTCTTGAATGTGTATTTTCTTTTCTTTTTTTAAATCCTTTATTTTTATGCTTTTCGGTGTGGAAATAGGAATAGGGCTATTTTAAAATTTGGCGGGAAAATTAAGTAAGCTTTGTAGAATATGGATGAATAAGTATGAATGCATAAGCATGTGATATTATAAAGGATTGGGTGTTATTATTAATATTAGATATTATGGCTTGAAATTTAAGTTTTAAATGTGCATGAAAATTTTTAACATTTATTACATTTATATATAATAGATATTTCTACGCTTTTTATTGTAGTATATATGTTTGATGGTATATTTCTTGTTATGAATGTAGATACAGAGGAATTTAAATATTTAGCGTTTGATGGAGTATTATTATGTATAGGAATTATATCTATTATATTTTGATTTACTTGTTGAATTAAAAAATTTATATAGTTTAATAGTTTATTTTATCTTTCTTAATTCAAGAACGAAATTGAATCTATCTGGTATATATATTTTATTCAGAATATGTATTTTATTCAGAATAATATTGAAATTTTTCCTTTAATTTGAATCATTTTATATGAATGTATATTAATAGAATGCATGTTAGTGAAAATCATCTATTTAGATATTATTAATTTAGATTACTTTCAGCTTCTAAAATTAATTTGTTTTTTTTTCTTTTTTGCTGCATCAAATCTTCTCATAAATATTTGTAGATACTGTTCCATTGCACATTAGCAAATTATCTACAAACAAAATAATTTTTCCAGTTGATTCATCATGTACTTTTGCATGTATCATAAAATTTGCTGTCACTATATAATCATTAACATACCAATTATCCATCATAAATCCATTTCAAACGTTATGTTAGATCGAATAGGTTAAGTATCGTGTATAACTTTCACGCGTTCGTGTTACCTTCGTATCGTAATTTATCGAAGCAAGCAATTTCTCATCGTGTTACTATGAAAACTTGTCGAGTTTATAACTTGACTTTCGAATTAGCTATCCATGATCTATATATCGTAACATCGATCCTTGAACTAATAATTAAATCTTCCAACATATTTTATGTTCGTTTATTTCAAATTTCGTCCACATCTATGATTTCGAAAAATTTTATAATAAGGAGGATACGTAAGAAAATCGTTGAAATTTCTATTCCTTTTTCTATTCGATATTCGTCG